AATAAACATTGATGGAGAAACAGGAAAATCTTAACTGAAAATCTTGGTATGCAAAAATGGTCTCAAAGGAGCTCCTGCATCATGACAATGCACCAGCTCACACACGTCTGTGAGGGAGTTGTTAGCCAATAAGCAAATAACTGTATTGGAAAACCCTCCCTACCCACCTGATTTGGCCCCCAATGATGTTTTTCTTTACATGAAGATAAAGGAAATATTGAAAGAAAGACATTTTTATGACATTCAGAACATCAAATGTAACATAACGACAACTCTGATGGCCATTCCAGAAAATGAGTTCCAAAACTGCTTTGACGAGTGGGCTAGGTGCTAGCATGGGTGCATAGCTTCCCAGGGGGAGTACTTTGAAGATGACTGTAGTGATATTTAGCAATTCGCTATGTAGCATTTCCAAGATTCAGAATGTGAGCTATATGACCTCTCTCAATTTGAACTTCCCAAATCTCCACTGATTCATTTTGCCCAAGACTGTGTTTCACATTTGGTACCACCTCAACCCACCAGTACATATAAATATGTGTTTCTTTGCATATAAGTCATGTGCAATCTAACATGATACTTCAAAGACAATGCCCCCATTCTTTATTGTGTAAACCAAAGGGATGACTCTAGAGATGTCCATTTCAATCCAAGATGTGAAAAAGAAGCATTAAGATTTATTTGTATTTGTTTATTATATCTGAAGTTAATAATTTATTAATGAAGTAGAGTCAGAAATTGCTAGAGGTACCTGCCTATTCAGATGGTTTTTGAAATCGGAAGGTCAAGTATGAAGCAGAAGACAGCCTTTCCCCATTAGCTAAGTTGTTTTGATATTATTGTGAGCTATCCAATACAGTAATCACTATCCACATGTGGCTACTCAGACTTAAATGTAAGTGTATAGAATTAAATAACATTAAAAATTTAATTTTCAATAGCATCAGCTGTATTTCAAGTACTCAATAGTCCTGTGTGGCTAGTGCTTCATATTGGAGATAGCACAGATAAAAAACATTTTCATTATTGCATGGAGCTCTATTGGATAGTGCTGTAGGACTCACATAATTTGGAAAATTTGAAAGAAAAATAGGTTACCTTCAGGGGCCACTGTAATATTTTTATCGTCTACAACATCATTGGAAGCAAGAAACAATTGTTTTTGTATTTGTGCTAGGAGATTATTCATGCTTGAGACCTCTTATTGTGAATATGGCTTCTTTAGGACCGGTGAAAAAAATAACAGAACTATCTAATACGTGGGGTAGAAAACTGTGGCCAAATAAACTTATGCTTTTACTTTGTATTTTTTTTCAGCTCATTCTGCTATGACTTTGTTTCTATTTAAATATTTGCAGTGTTGGTTCCTAGGCCTGAAATTCCATAGAATGTAGAGCTGATTTTACATTCCCTTGTCTACCATAGTAAGTGCAGAAATGGCAGGCCAGTAGCACGTACTGGGGTAAATGGGACTTAGATTATAAATTGCAATTTATTTTTTGTATGGGTAAAACTCTGATGGGCATCATGTGGTCCAAATGTGTATACAATTTATAGAAACAGGACATCTGAAAAATATTTTATCTGTATAGTCGCTCATGAGGAGCCATGAGTTGTCCTTTTCTTTCTTATTTCTTTCTCCCTTTCAACATTTCTAGTTTCCTCCCCGAACCCCTAAGCACATATTTGTTGAGTGTCCATTAGATTCTGAGAAGAGATCAAAGAATATGAGAGATACAGTTTCTATTCTCATGGAGCTTATAGTCAAAGAAATAGACAACAAAATTACCTGCAAAATTAATTTTTGAAAAACATTCTAATAAGTGTAATAGAGGAAGAATGCAAGATGATAAACAGACAAAAAGGTCTAATAACAGGGAGACTCGACCCTTCCTGGAAGGTAAGAGATGGAAGAATAATAAATACTGATAGGAGGATCTGCTGTTTGCCCTTTATTAATTAGTGAGCCTTTTTTTCTTCCCCTGTGACAGGCCAAATGAAGTGTTGTGCAAACATATAGCATAGTTGATGTTTCCTTCTTGATGTCTAAGCCCCTCTGAACCTCCTGGCCCAAATTTCAAGGCTGGTTTCGTGAAGCTGTTCTCAGAACAAGAGTGAAGAATTACTGCAGGTGAGAAGATTGGGAGACAGTTGGGAATGGATGAGGAGTGTGAAGGGGCTACTGTGAACAATTTTCTATAACACAAAAATAAATTTGTTCTACCAATCGCTCAGGAGGGGAAAGACGAAGGCACACACATATTTATTTGTGGGTATCTACGTTTTCTTGGCAACTTTGTTACTCTGAATTCATCAATGTCAACTCATTGATCCCAATTTAACTTGTTGGCCCTATCTACTGGATTAAAATTTTTTTCCTAAATTATATTGGATCTTATGATAAAATATATTCAGCTGTCCCTATTGCCGTGGGCTTTTCCTGGCTTGTATGGTTACATTATGAGCCGTGCCTTTGTCTCTATTCATCTCTTTTGTCTTTCTCTATTATTGCTCTTTTTATCACAGCTTCTTCATTTTCCACCTCCATTCTCCTCAGATTCAGACTGATGATAGGGAATGTGCTGTTAGTTGCTGATGTGATGAAATTCGGAGTGATTGCTTATTAAAAAATTCAGGGCATTTCTTTGATGACATTGGGTTTAAGAAATATGATAATTGTTAAAATATACATAACATCTTTCTCTGATTGTGTGTGTGTGTGTGTATGTGGGTGTATGTGTGCATATGGCTGGTCTTTTCTCAAATGTGCTCATGCAGTGTCATTTTTGGAATGCGGTTGTCTCCTCAAAGTGGCTATCAAGGGAATTAGAACTCAAATTAAGGATTATTAAAAAGACATTCACACTGAAATATGTTATTACTGCAAAAGCTGTTCTTGCATTAGCAAAATGAAGTTAGCGGAACAACTGGCATTTACAGCTGAGGCTCTAAATCAAAATTCTGCAAAGCAGTCCTGTTTTTCCACTCCAATAGCATTCTTCCTTCCTCTACAATTCTGTCGCTGTGAACTTTGCCAAGTACCTTACTTTATAGAAAACCAGGAGGGCTCAGAAACCAGTAAATGTCGGCTACTACTTCCTACATTTTCCCCCAACACTGGTTTTTCTTGAGGGAAGAGGGTCTTGAATCTTTGGATGCTGGATCTGGGAACCTAGCACTATTTGATATTCACTTTGCTATATGTTGGAGCTATGAGATGAAAGAGACACATGCCTAATCCTCACAAGCAAAAGTTTTACAACTTTTCTTAAATCCAGCCTTTTTCTTGTAATTTCTATCTCACTTGCGGGTTCAGATACTACTGGGTCAATCTACTGGAAACATAGGCCTGATCCTGCTTCTTCCCTTTATTTACCTCCCCTTGCAATATTGCCAATTGCCCAGGCACATCAAAACACCTTTTTGCTAGGCCCCTCAATATTTCTTCAATCTGCTCCTCCTCTACAGTTTGCCTTTGTCATCCTTGATCTATTTTACATCATCGTTATTTTTTGCCCATATTATTGCAATGATGCCTTAAATGGTTTCACTGTCATCAGCTTAATCCTCCCCACTCTGCTTCTACTCTTCCCAAAGAATCCATCCACCACAACTCAGAAGTAAGATGCAAATTTGATCACATTATGACTTTTACCAAAAGTCCATCAATAGTTACAGTGGGCATAAGATTGTATTTTAATATCTTAACTGCATTATGACCTTTCTTACTTTCTAAGCTTCATCTGATTCTATGTTACCTCTGAATTATATACAGTTTTCTTTGGAATATTCCACCACAACATGATTCTGTTCCCCTCTTGCACATACTCACAAACACACGACTTCTCTGAAATTCAAGAATTGTTACCTGAGGAAAGTTTTCACTAAGCACCAGATTTCCAGGTTGAGTTGCAAAACATTTGTCTATGCCCTCAGAAAACTACATACATACTCATAACACTTAAAATCCCCACGTTGTCCTTTGTATATGGCTTTATTGAGATACATATCATATGATTTATCCATTTAAATTAATTGTACATAAGCCGGGCTTGGTGGCTCAGCCTGTAATCCCGCGCCTTTGGGAGGCTGAGGTGAGTGGGTTGCCTGAGCCCGTGAGTTCGAGACCCGCCTGGGCAGCGAGACCTCATCTCTACAAGAAATAAAAAAATCAGCTGGGCATGGTAGCGCATGCCTATAATTCTGGCTACTTGGAAGGCTGAGGTGAAAGGATCGCCGGAGCCCAGCAGGTCTAGGCTGCGGTGGCCGGGAGTGGCCACTGCACTCCAGTCTGGGCAACAGAGTGAGACTCCAACTCAAAAAAAATAAAAAATAAAAAATAAAAAAAATTAATTAATTAATTAATTGTACAAATTAAGTGAAGTACAATTCAGTGATTTTTAGCATTTAGAGTAAGTTGTGCAATCATTACCACAGTCAATTTTAGAACATTTTGATTAGCCCCAAATGATACCTCCAACCCCATTAGAAGTCACTTATCCAAATCCTCCAACTCTACTTCTATATCTTGTCTCAATAGATTTGCCTATATTTGCTTATTTTCATATAAACAGAATTATCCAATATATGGTCAGTCTTTGGTTACTGACTCTTTTTAGCATGAGGTTTTCAAGTTTTATCTATGTTCTAGCGTATGTCATTTCTTTTAATTACTTTTAGATTTAAATTTTACACTGTATGAATATGCCATATTTGATCTATCCATTTATCAGTTAACAGTTATTTAGATTCTTTTCACTTTTTGGTGATTAGGAATAACGCTTTTATAAATAGTGATAGGTAGGTTTATCCTCGATACTAGGTGATTATTAGATGCATGATTAGCAAATATTTTCTCTCATTCTGTAGGTTTTTCCACTTTTTGATAGTACTCTTTGAAAGTTATTTTTATTTTATTTTTATTCTGCGGTGCTGGTATTTAGAGCGCAGCGGCTGAGGGGCCAGGTCGCCTTCGTTGCAGCCGCTCCGCTCTTCTTTGCGCCCGCCCGCCCGCTGCGACCAACCAGTCCTCGCCCCGCTTCGGCCCGCAGAGCTCGCCCCTTCCCCACCCGCAGACATGTCTGAGAGCAAGAGCAGTCCCGAGTATGCTTCGTTTTTCGCCGTCATGGGCGCCTCCCCCACCATGGTCTTCAGTGCCCTGGGTGCCGCCTATGGCACAGCCAAGAGCAGCACCGGCATCGCCGCTATGTCCGTCATGCGGCCGGAGCTGATCATAAAGCCCATCATCCCAGAAGTCATGGCTGATATCATCGCCATCTATGGCCTGGTGGTGGCAGTCCTTATCGCCAACTCCCTGAACGACGGCATCAACCTCTACAGGAGTTTCCACCAGCTGGGCGCTGGCCTGAGTGTGGACCTGAGTGGCCTGGCAGCGGGCTTTGCCATCGGCATTGTGGGGGACACCGGCGTGCGGGGCACCGCCCAGCAGCCCCGACTATTACGGGCATGATCCTGATCCTCATTTTCGCCGAGGTGCTTGGCCTCTATGGTCTCATCGTGGCCCTCGTCCTCTCCACAAAGTAACCCCTTTCAAGCTCACCAGCCACAGAATATGATGTAAAGACCACCCCCTCCTCATTCCAGAACGAACAGCCTAACACACGCACGGGGCAACTGCCCTCAGTAGTTGGTCTTGTAAGTGCGCAGTGTCCTAGTGCCCATTGTCTGTTGCCCTGGCCTTGCCCCTACCTGCCCCGTGCCGTGGACATCCGGGCCCACTTATCACCATCCAGGCCCTGCCTCGTGAGGACGCAGGCCTCCAGCCATCCCCACCCACCTGCCCTAGAGTGCTCTGTGTATAAGGATGAATTAGAGTTGTCATTTTTCTCTTCACTGGATGTTTATTTATAAAGATTTGATCTGTTCATACTTCTGTGGAGCAGCCCTTGTCTCCCAACTATATAGTAATCTTTAGGTAGAGTGTCACTTTGTGGGGTCCCGTTACTGAGACTTCCTTGGATGGAACCACCCTGTCCAGCTGGGCTGCCAGGCCACGAGTCGGAGCTGTTTCCAATTAAGTTCTCGGATGTTAAAAAAAAAAAAAGAAAGAAAGTTATTTTTCAACTATGATAAACTCCAATTTATCTAATTGAACTTTTATGCTTGTGCTTTTGGTGTTGAAGAAACCATTGATAGTCTAATCCAAGGTTACAAAGATTTACTTAAACATTTATTTTAAAAGTTTTATAATTTTCTTTCTTACACATAGGACTTTGATCCATTGAGTTAATTTGTGTGTGTATGTGTGTGTGTGTGTGTGTGTGTGTGTGTGAGATATAAGGCAGAAATCTAACTTTATTGTTTTACATGTGAGTAATCAATTGCCTGGCATCATTGATCAAAAATGTAATTCCCCTCACCCTATTGAATTGAATTGTGTTAACACTCTTGCTGAAAATTAATTGACCATAAATTTAAGGTTTTATTTCTGAATTCTCACTTGTTGCCATTGATCTATATGTTAATCCTTGTGGTAGTACCACCCTGTCTTCATTCTTGCAGCTTGGAAGTCAGTTTGAAATTGGGAATTGTGAGCACTCCAACTTTGTTTGTTTTCAAAATGATTTGGGGTATTCTGTGTCTCTTGCATTTTTACATACATTTTAGAATTAGTAGATCAATTTTCATAAAGAAGTCAGTTGGGATTTAGAGAGAGATTTATGGAATTTGAAGATCTATTTTGGAAGAATTGCTGTCTTTTTCCAACCATGAAAATGGAATGTCTTTCAATTTATACAGGTTTTCTTTCATTCTTTCCAATGTTTTGCAGTTTTTCTTCAGAGTATATATTTTCAATTCTTTTGTTAGATTAAGTACTTTTTTGATGTTATAAATAGAATTGTTTCCCAAATTTCACTTTGGTACTATTCATTGTGAGGGTATAGTATAGAAATTTGATTAATTTTTGTATATTAATCTTATAGCCTACAACCTTGCTGCGCTTATTTATGAGTTCTAATAGTTTTTTAGTGAATTCCTTAGCATTTTCTGTATACAAAAACTTTTTATCTGCAGATAGAGCTAAATCTGCTTCTTTAAAATCAAGATTTTAAACATTTCTCTTTCTTGCATCAATGTTTTATCTAGAATCTCCAATACAGTATTTAATAGAAGTGGTAAAAGCAGACATCCTTATTTTTGTTCTGAACTTAGGGGGAAAGCATTCTGTCTCTTCATCATTAGGTATAGTAGTATCTGTAAATTTTTGTAGATTTTTTTGTCAGTTTGAGAGAGCTTTCTTCTAAGCATAGTTTGTTGAGGGCTTTTATTATAAAAAAGTGTTAAATTTTGTCAAATACTTTTCCACTGTCTATTTAGGTTGTCATTTCTCCTTTTTTCTATGAGTATAGTATATCATATTGATTGATTTTTATTTGTTAAACCTATTTTGATTTTCAGGGATAAATTCCAGAAGGCGATTGAAAGAATGTCTAGATCACTAAGTCCAACGACAGGTTCTTAGGCCTTATTTCCTGATGTCCCCAAAAGGTTCTTGATTTAGGTCCACTGTCAATTTTAGAAATTTGTCAATTTTATCTAGGTTATGGAATTTGTTGGTATATAGTTTTCATAATATTTTCTTATCCTTTCTTTTTTTATTTTAGTAAAGTTTCTAGTAATATTTTTTCTATTCTTGATTTCATTAATTTGAGTCTTTGCTATAATTTTCATCAGTTTAGCTAAAAATTGTAAATTTTGATCTTTCCAAAAACCAATTTTGGTTTTTGTTGATTTTTCACTATTGTTTTTCTTTCTCTATTTTATTAACTTTCATACTAATATTTATGATAGCTTTTCTTTGTTTGCTTTAGGTTTGCTTGTTCTTATTCCTTCAGAAACTAATTATGGTATATTAGACTATTGATTTGAGACCTTTATTCTTTTTTAATATAGCTACTATAGCTATAAATTGAATAGAATGCTGAAGCATACGTTACATTGATTTTTTAAAATTACAAAATTAACTTTTCTTATGTTTTTTATTTATGTGGTTGAATGTGCTTTCTGGGGTTTGTCTTTCTTGACAAGAGTGAGCTTTCAGTCTGAAGAACTTCTTTTAGCATGTCTTGTAAGGAGGGTTTGCTAACAAAAAACTCTCTCAGATTTTGTTTACCTAGAAACGTCTTCATTTTACCTCAGCTTTTGAGTTGGAGTCTCACTCTGTCACCCAGGCTGGAGGGCAGTGGCCGCTCCCGGCCACCGCAGCCTCGACCAGCTGGGCTCCGTCGATCCTTCCGCTTCAGCCTTCCAAGTAGCCGGAACTACAGGCACGCGCTACCACGCCCGGCTGATTTTTTGATTTATTGTAGAGATGAGGTCTCACTGCCCAGGCGGGTCTCGAACCCGCGGGCTCAGGCAATCCACTCACCTCAGCCTCCCAACGCGCGGGATTACAGGCTGAGCCACCGAGCCCGGCTTCATTTTTGCTGCTTTTAAGATTTTTTTCTTTGTCTTTTTATTCTAGTCGTTTTACTATTATGTGTTTGGGCATAGCTTTTTTGCATTAAATATAACTGGAATTTCTTAAGCTTCATAAATGTGTAGGTTCACACTTTTCATCAAATGTGGGAGATTTTCAGCCATTATTTCTTGGAATATTTTGGGAATTTTGTTTCTGCTTCTTTTCCACTCATCTACTTCTGCTAATCCCATTGGAAATATCTTGATGCACTTGATAGAATCACACATTTCTTTGAGGCTTTTACTTCTTCTTCATTTTTTTTTCTGGTCTTCAGATTGTATATTGCGTATCTATCTTCAAGTTTGCTGATTCTATCTTCTACCAGTTCAAATATACTATTGAGCCTCTCTTGCACATTTTTAAATTTTTAAAAATTTTCTTTATTTCAATAGTTTTAGGGAGTGCAAGTAGTTTTGGTTTCATGGTTGCATTGTGTAGTGGTGAAGAAGTTTAGGCTTTAAGTGTACCCATCACTCCCACCTGTGCCCATTGTACCCTATATTTGATTCTTCATCCCTTCACCAAACACCATAGCCCTTCTGTGTCTCCAGATCCTAGTTTAGCTGCTACTCATAAGTGAGAACATGTGGTGTTTGGTTTTCTCTTCCTGTGTTAGTTTACTTAAGATGATGTTCTCTATTCCATCCAAGTTGCTGGAAAAGAATTTCATTATTTTTGATGACTGAATAGTATTCCACAGTGTATATACACTACATTTTCATTATCCACTGATCAGTTGGTAGGCATTTAGGTTGATTATAAGTCACTGCAATTGTGAATTGTGCTACAGTGCACCTACGAGTGCAAGTATCTTTATATACATGTATATCACAATCTCTATGTCTTTGGGTAGATACCTCATAGTGGAATTGCTGGATCAAATGGTGGATCCACTTTTAGTTCTCTGAGTAATCTTTATACCTATTTCCATATAAGTTGTACTAACTTACACTCCCACAAACAGTGTATAAGAATTCCCTTTTCACCACATCTGCACCAGCATCTATTGTTTTTTCAATTTTTTAGTAATGGTCATTCTGATTGGTGTAAGGTAGTATCTCATTGTGGCTTTGATTTGCATTTCCTTGTTGATGAGTAATGGTGAAACTTTTTCATATGTTTGCTGGCCATTTGTAGGTTTTCTTTTGAGAGGTGTCTGTTCATGTCATTGTTCCTCTTTTTAATGGGATCATTTGCTTTTTACTTGTTGATTTGTTTGAATTCTTTATAGATTCTGGATGTTAGTTTTTTGTCTGATGCATACTTTGTGAATATCTTCTCGCATTCTGTAGGTTGCCTATTTGTTCTGTTGATTATTCATTTTGCTGTGCGGAAGTTTTTTAGTTTAATTAAGTCTATGTTACTTATTTTTGTTTTTGTTGCATTTGCTTTTGGGGTTTTCCTAGGTCAATGGCCAAAGGATTTTTCCTAGGTTTTCTTCTAGGATTTTATGTTTTCAGGTCTGACATGTAAAAGTCTGTAATCTATCTTGAATTAATTTTTGTATATGGTGATAGGGATCAAGTTTCATTTTCTGCATATAGCTATCAAATTTTCCCAGCACTGTTTGTTGAATAAGATGCCCTTTCCCCAGTGTATGTTTTTTTCTTCTTTATAAAAGATCAGTCGGTTGTAGGTGTTTGGGTTTATTTCTGGATTCTCTATTCTGTTCCATTGATCCATGTGACTACTCATGTGCAGTGCCATGCTGTTTTGGTTCCTATGGCCTTGTAGTATAATTTGAAGTCAGATGGTGTGATGCCTGGACTTGATAAATGAATTCAGTGAAGTTTTAAGATGCTGAATTCATTTATCAAATCCAGGAATTTTTTGGAGGAATCTTTAGATTATTGAGGTAAAAAATTATGTTGTCAGCATAGACAGATAATTTGATTTATTCTTTTCCAAACTGAATATGTTTTATTTTTTCTTTTGTTGGTTGTTCTAGGTGGGACTTCCAGTACTATGTTGAATGGGAGTGGTAAAAATGGGTATCCTTGCCTTGATCCAGTTCTGAGGGTAATGCATTCAACTTGCCATTCAGGATGACATTGGTGATGAGTTTGCCATATATGGCTTTTATAATTTTGAGAATTGTTCCCTCTATGCCTATTTTGCTGAGGTTTTCTTTTTTATCATGAAGAAATGTTGAATTTTATCATAATTTTTCTGAGTCTATTGAAATGATCATATGATATTTGTTTTAAATTCTGTTAATGTGGTAGATCATGTATATTGACATGCATATGTTGAATCACCCATGCATTCCTGGGAAAAAAAAAACCCACATGATTTTGGTGAATTTTTTTTTAATGAGAT